ATACCAGAGACAATGTGGGAGGAGAGTGAGAGATGGCAGATAGTAAGAGATAGGGAATCAAGGATGAGGGGAAAAAAAGCAAAACATACAGGAAACAAGAAATGGAAAATTATTTGTTGATGATAACATGTATGTTGATGTGCTTGATTGAGCCAGTATACAGCATACTCTGGATGGAAAAGTCTCATTCTGTATGGTAATGATGTACAGTGAATGAATGTAAATGAATAAATTTTAAAAAAGAAAAAGAAAAAAATGGAGCAAAAAGAGGTAGTGACTTGCACTACTGAGCACAGCTAATAAGCTTAAGCCCAGCTAATTGGCTGATTATTCCACAGCTAATAAAGGCTGGAACCAGGATTTGGAGTCAGGATTGCCTATGTCTATGTACCTAGGCCTTTAGCCACTGTGCTCGTCTGCTCTGCACACTCAGTTGCTCACTGTTTTTGTAACATACCTAGATAGTTCTGGTCCTTTTTATCCTGACTCTTCCCTCTGTCTAGAATGCCTTACAAGGTCCATTTCAAGTGTAACTCATGGATTCATCCATTCATTCATTCAGTCAGTGAATCAGTAACTTTTACAACAAACACTGTCGGCCATCTTTCACATATCTCTAATCTAGGCTATAGCAATGAACAAGATTGACATAGCCTCTGCCTTCACAGAGCTGATAGTCTACAACTGCATTTCTTAAACTCTTCAGTCTCAGGACCTTATAAAACTCTAAAAACTATTGAGGACTTCAAAGAGCTTTTGATTATATGGACTATAGTAACTAATATTTATTGTATTAGAAATTAAAATTAGAAACATTTAAAATAATTATTTATCCATTTATTTAAAAATAACACAATGAACCCATTACATATTGTTAAAAGAAAAATGAACCAGTCAATTTAATAGAGTTTTAACTGAGCAAATTTTAATATAATTTAATCAGGCAGTTATCTCTGAACTTTTGGATAATTGCGGCTTGCCTCATGGTCAACTCATTATTTAAGTTCTGGAAAAGGGAAAATAAGTATAAAAACAAAAGTGAGTATGAGGTAGAGAAACCAATTGTTTTTCTACCAAATGTTTGAAAGTTTCCACAAAAGGTGGCTTTCTGTGATTGACTGAAGTGCAGCTAGTTTGCTTGGCTATAACTTAGCAACCAGCTCAGGAAAACAGCCTACCATGACGATTTTGGCTTCTCCACAGGAATTCAAGTGTGGGAGTACAGCGGCCATTTTAGACCTAAATAGTTTAACAATTTAAACACAGAGTATGTATGAAAAGACAGCTATATTTCGTGAAGCAAAAAGTTAATTAAAATAGTGCCTTTGTCAGGACGAGCAGGTGGTATGGTGATTAAGGCGCTGGACACTCCCACATGACTGACCAAGGTTCAAGTCCTGAATCTCGTGACTTGCTTTTTCACTTCCTCTCTCTCTCACTCTCATCCTCTGTCTCTCTCTGGTCAAATTAAAAAATAAATGAATGAATAAATAAAATAAAATAAGTAATAGTTAAGTTAGATTCTGGAGATGATCACAAACTATGAGTATAAGACAAATTTTATTCAACAACAGTTGAATAAAACTCACACAGAATCAGAATTGCCACTAAAATATGAATGGGATTTCAGGTGAAAGACCTGAGTTTGTTCAGAATAGAACAGCTAAAATGAAGCGGGATAAAATGCAGCTTCTATAGAAAACAAACTAGGAGTATAAGTCATTTTATTCAACTGTGTTAGCTGGAACGAGTCCTTTAAAAGTAAAACATGTATCTGATGTGCAAAGCATAGTATTTTAAATAAATTTGCTTGTCACCATCCTTCCTGTGTTTCCTAATTAAACCTTAGGGTGCTCGCATGTTCTTGTTTCTTAATCAATAGCTCTATGAATAAGCAAGCAGCATAACTAGGAATAGAACCTAGATTTTCTCCACAGTCATCCCTTCTTCCCTGCCTCAGCCACACTGCAGAGATGACCAGGGCTGGGACACACAGAATCGGAATTGCCACTAAAGGATGAATGGGATTTCAAGTGAAAGACCTGAGTTTGCTCAAAACAGAAGAGCTAAAATGAAGCGGGATAAAATGCAGCTGCTGTAGAAAACAATATGGTAGGTCCTAAAAAAATTAGAATTTCCGTACAACCCAGCAATTCTACTTCTGGGTATATGTCCAAAAATTAAAAACAGGGACTCAAATAGATATCTGTACACTTGCGTTCACAGCAGCATTACTAACAAGAGCTAAAAACATGGAAGCAAATCAAGTGCTCATTGGTGAGTGAATGAATAAGGAAGACGTGGTGTATGCATTCACTAGAAAATATTCAGCCCTAAAGAAAAGGACATTCTGATTCAAGCTGCACCATAGATGGAGGCCTGAGAACATTGTGCTAAGTGAAGTAAACCAGTCACAAAGGGACAAATACTGTGTGACTCCACTTACATGAGGTACCCGCAGTAGTCAGATTCATAGAAACAAAAAGTAGAACACCAGTTGCCAGGAGTTACAGGAAGGGAGAAAAAAATTAAAATGAGACCAGCCTTGGAAAGCTCAAACAGCAATCAACTAAAGATGGCTTAATTATATCCTAAAGCCCTGCAAACCCACTCATTGTTATATGCCCAAGATCATTGAATCCATTTGTCCAATAAAGGCCAGGTGCAAGGACATTTATAGCAGTGCTATATATGTGTCCAGAAAGAATTAAAATGTATACCTGTAACAGAATGGGTAAACAATTTGTGTTGCATTTATGTGATGGAATACTACACAGAAATGGAAGTGAAAAAACTGTTGCTATACACAACGTGAGTGAATCTCACAAGCGTGAAGTTTGGTTGTTTAAAAAAAGGAGAAACTATCCATTCATCTGTTTGTGGGCATTTGGGTTGTTTCCATGACTTAGCAATTGTGAATAGTGCCGCAATAAACATTGATGTGCAAGCACTTTCCTGATTAAGTATTCTTCTGTCCTTTGGGTAGATACCAAGGAGTGGGACTGCTGGATCATATGGTAGTTCTATTTGTAGATTTTTGAGGAATCTCCAAATCGTTGTCCACAGTGGCTGAACCAATTTACGTTCCCACCAGCAGTGTAAGAGAGTCCCCCTTTCACCACACCCCCACCAGCACTTATCATTTTTTTTTTTTTAATCTTAGTCATTCTGACTGGGGTTAGGTTGTACCTCATTATGGAAGACTTACTGCTGAGTGAAACAAGCCAGGCTATGAAGGAGAGGTATTGTATGTTCCCACTTAATATATACCAAGTGTCTGCACTCTATGACTGAAACTAATTCACTAAAGGATATAGAAACACAGTATATAGATGTAAATACCAGATATAATATGTGTGCAAGAGGAGGGTCTGAGGAAGGACATTTAGAATAAAAATAGGGAGGCAAAGTATTGATGTCATAGGGAGGTGTGGTCTTTTTTGTTGAGGATGTTTTGTGGTTTTGTCAATTGTGTTGGAGAGAAATGTTCACCTGTTGAAATATCCATTTTGTAAGACAAATAATAATGTGATTGAATGTATAAAAGAAAATGAAATGAAAAATAAATTCATTTTTAAAATGGAGAAATTAATCTCTAGCATTAAAAGTGGTTACCTTAGGCAGGGAAGTGGGAGTGACTGGGACTGAGAGTGGCTCCTAGGGTTCTGGGAGGATCCATTTTTTTTTTTCTTTTTTGGAGAGGTTTTCGCTATAGGGCGCGTGCGCTCACCAGACAGAGAGAGACATAGAGACAGAAAGTGAGAAATCACCCCTCAGGGGGGATGGTCATGCCACAATCCTTTCTCTTCCATTCTCCTCTCAGAATCTTGGGCACGCACGCACACGCGCCCGGCGTGAGTTTTAAGCCACCGGGTCTGGGACGTGAACTGCAGTCAACTACGTGGGAGTCCAGCGACATAGCCATTATGCCAACTGCTGGTTCCCGGGATCCACTTTTTGACCTGGGTGGCAGTTACATTCAATTCAAATTTCACTAAACTTTATATGTATCATTTAGGCACTTTTCTGCATGAAGACTACAATTTTAAGTCTACTAAAATTACGGATCAGGAGTAATTAGGATTCTAGAATCACCAGAGTTTGAAAAATTAGCCACTACATAATTGATACTCAGAATTCATATGGTGGATAGTTTTAGGCCCAACTGTGGGAAAATGGAGACTTTTCTGTATAAAGCATATATTGTTGTGTGACTACATGGGAGTTTGGGGTACAGCCATTATTAGTATTTTGAAAATGTGCTTCAGATTAGAAACCCTTCCGTGTACTTTCAAGCACATGAGGTCCTCACGGCAACCCTGAGGGTGGCAGTTGCCATCATCTCCAGATGAGAAAACCAACACTCAGAGCCCAGTGACTCCCTGTGTCTGAGCTGGTGGGTGGTGGGCTCAGAATTAAAGCTCAGGTAGGCTGTTCTCTCTGCACTCTCTGCAGGTATGGCTCACCCTCGCCACTCTGCCTCAGGCATCTTTCAGTATCAGGCGCTTTCCCCTCACTTACATAGTAAGTTATATTAGCTATTCATTTCTATTGTAGAGAAATAATTATATATTTTTTTAGTGCCTATTCTGTTTACCAGTTGAATTTAGTTTTCTATTGTCATAATTTTGAATTTAGTGCTTCCTCAACATTAGAATGTGCTAAAGAGTTACTTTTATTTAGTCTTTTACATTATAAAATAAATTTAATGGCATTAAAGAAAACTGAGAAATTAAAGAGTCATCCATTGTCCTGCCATCTTAATCCAATCCTGATTTATTTTTGTTTTCATGAATTTTTTTTTTTTGAGAGATTTTCACTGTAGGGCGCGTGCGCTCGCCAGACAGACAGAGAGAGACATAGAGACAGAAAGCGAGAAATCGCCCCCCAGGGGGGATGGTCACGCCGCAATCCCTTCTCCTCCATTCTCCTCTCTGGGTCTTGGGCACGCACGCACACGCGCCCGGTGTGAGTTTTAAGCCACCGGGTCCGGGACACGAACCGCGGTCGACTACGTGGGAGTCCAGCGACATAGCCATTACGCTAACTGCTGGTTCCCTCCACGGAAATCTTTAGTAAAAGGCAAAAGATTTATACGATCTGAAGAGAAACCAGAGTATGATGAATTTTTGAAGTTTTTATTATAAAACTTTTTTAAGCTCTATGAGTGAGAGACAGAGAGAGAGGCAGAGAGATAGCTTCCCTGACAGGGTCTCGATCCTGTCACAATCAGCTTCAGCCAGCACTGAATCATGGGCAAGTGCATGCCTGGTGAACCCAGGGAGGTCTCCAACCCAGGGAGGTCTCCAACCCAGGGAGGTCTCCAGATGTGAACCAGCAACTTTCCTATGTGAGTCAGCTTCACAGAGCTTTGCATTTTACTGTGTATCACATTCAACTCTCCAATTTTTTGAGTCGTATCTTGACATATGAGTGTCATAAAAAAAAAAAAAAAAACTATACAGGGACCAGCAGATAGTGCAATGGTTATATCGTGGCACTCCCACATAGTCTACCATGGTTCGAGTCCCAGACCCAGAGGCTTGAAATTCACGCTGGAGATGTATGATTGCATGCCCACAATCCTGAGAGGAGAATGGAAGAGAAGGGACTGTGTGATGCCATCCCCCCAGGGGGTGATTTCTCTCTTTCAGCCTCTCTGTCTCTCTGGCAAGTATATGCACCCTATTGCAAAAATTTCTATACATATTTAATGTATAAAACTTTATCACATTGAAGGTAGGACAATTATTATTTAAATTGTACATACCTTCTAGATCTTTTCTCAGATTTTTTTCCCCACTTAATGATATATACTTTAGAGTTTTAAGAGTCTTTGAAGCTACATTTTTAGAAACAACTTTTTTGTACTTAGAGACTAAAGCATTCTTCTTAACAGAAAATTACAAACTGAAATCTATGAAGAGAAAATGAAAATTTGTTTTTGTTTTTGTCATAGGGCACATGTACTCATCATAGAGGAGATAGATTCAGAGAGAGAGAGAAACTGAGAAATCACCCCCAGAGAGATAGCCATCCTAAAATCTCCTCTCTTCATTTCTCCTCTCAGGATTCTGGGCAGGCACACGCATGTGCCTAGTGTGATTTTCAAGCTGCTGGGTCCAGCATCATGTGGGAGTCCAGCACCTCAACTACCATGCCACCTACAGGTCCCAAAATTATTTTACTTGCAGAACTGAGGAAGAACCAATACTAACACTGTGTTGGGTTTTTGCAAATATGATTTTCCCCTGTAATAACAGTATTCATTTAGAAATTACAATCACACTATACATTTTTTCTTCTCACCTATATTCTTTAAAACCATAATTTTCAGGACCATGTAACAGTTTTTTTCTTATGTATTTTTTGTTTGTATTTTTATTCTTATTTTTTTTTGAGAGATTTTCACTGTAGGGCGCGTACGTTCGCCAGACAGACAGAGAGAGACATAGAGACAGAAAGCGAGAAATCACCCCCCAGGGGGGATGGTCACGCCGCAATCCCTTCTCCTCCATTCTCCTCTCGGGATCTTGGGCACGCACGCACACGCACCCAGCGTGAGTTTTAAGCCACCGGGTCTGGGACACGAACCGCGGTCGACTATGTGGGAGTCCAGCGACATAGCCATTATGCTAACTGCTGGTTCCCTATTTTTATTCTTTTTAATAATATATTTTATTTTATATATTCAATCACTATACATCACTTAGTTGGTAATTTCCCAACACGAACACATGTCACACCAGTCCAGTTAGGGATACTATACACATTATCATCAACTGATAATAATTCATTTCTGTGTCCCATAGATGTCTTGCCTCTCTATTTCTCTCCTTAATGTTGTTCCTCAGACTCTCCTCCTTCTCCAACCCTCTTCCAACACTGTATCTGGTATCTACAACCATTTTCCATGTTTCTATGTCCTCTAATCTTTCAGATTCAGCAATAGAGTGCATACAGTCAGTATATATTAGATGGAGACATAAGATGTCTCTCCTTCATAGCCTGGCTTGCTTCACTTAGCAGGAAATCTTCCATATTCACCCATTTTCTATAAAAAGCCAGAGTCTTGATTTTTATGGCCGAGTAGTATTGCATAGAATATATATGCCACACTTTTTCAATCCATTCTTCTGTTTGTGGACATTTGGGTTGGTTCCATGTCATAGAAATTGTGAATAATGCCACAATAAACATAGGTGTGTCAGCACTTTTCTGACTAAGCATTCTTTTGTCCTTTGGGTAGACACCTACAAGTGGAACTGCTGGATCATATGGTAGTTCTATTTGTAGATCTTGGAGGGATCTCCATATTATTCTCCATAGTGACTGGACAAATTTACATTCCCACCAACAATGTAGAAGTGTTCCCCTTTCACAATATCCCCACCAGCATTTATCTTTTTTTTTTTCTTTTTTTTAATCTTAGTCATTCTGACTGGGGGTAGATGGTATCTCATTGTGGTTTTGATCTGCATCTCCCTTATGAAGAGGAATGTTGAGCATTTTTTCATATGCTTTTTGGCTGTGTCTGTTCAGCTAATTTTCTCATCTTTTAATTGACGTGATTTTTTTTTTATGGTAAGTCACTTGAGTTTCCTGTTTATTCTGGTTATCAGTCTCTTATCTGAAGCATAGTTTTAAAAAATTCTCCCTTTCTGAGGGTTGTAATTTCACGCTAATTACTGTGTCTTTTGTTGTATAGAAACTTCTTAATCTGATGTAATCCCACTTCTCTATTTCTGAGATTATTGCCTGTGCTTTGGGGTCTTACTTAAGAACATTTTTATTCTTAGTATTCTCTTCTGTTGTATGTACTTACATAAATATTTTTTGAGATAGTTTTCTATTTTTATATTTTTATTATTATTATTCATACATTAAATCACTATACATAATTTAGATTGTGAAGAGACTTTACCCAGCATGATATACACTGCCGGGGACCAGCCTCCACGGGGGTGGGTTGGTTCGACGGAGGCGACGCTGGAAGAAAAGAAAGACAAAGGCCTCGCGCTTTTTCATGCACGTCCTAAGCCGGACACTCCTCTAAGATCGCTCTCTGAGGAGTGACAACTGCTAGGAAATATCGTGCCTTTTTATTGAAAATGAGATACATGCAAGTAA